ATGAGAACAAATCATGTAATTATCTGAGAGATAAGCAACAAATAAGGTAAGTGACTCATGCAATCCTGTTACACATACGAGTCATCGTCATAAGCCTTGGTCCAACAGCATCTATAAAATAAATATAAGATAAAATATGAGGTATTTTGCAGGGGAGATACAAGTAACTGTGGAGATCCAGAAAGGCCTAATGAAGGAGGTAGCCCTTGAGCTGAGCTTTGGAGGGGCGTAGGGATTCTAAGAGGAGAAGGTGAGTGGGAAGTATATTACAGGCATGGCATACAGCCTCTGAAAAGGGATACAAGAGATGTGATGTCACTTGTGAGGAACAACAAAATTACTAGTGGCAGCACACTAGTGCCTATAATGGGGAGTAATGCATGATAAGATTGCAAAGGTATGTTGGAATTAAATTATAAAGGTCAAATAGAAGAGGTAATAGGGAGCAGAGGAGTAATGTAGTCAGCCTTGTGCCTTAGGAGTATCACTGGCAGCTGTGTGAAGGAAGCAAGACAGGAGACTTGAAGGACAGACCAATTAGGAGGCTATCGCGATAGCCCAGGTGAGAGATATTGACTATGTGACTAAAGAGAAGGGGAGAGATGCAAGAGACGTCGTGAAGGTAGAATCGACAAGAGTCGGCAACTGATCAACTACACGGAGTGAAGGAGAATGAGACGTGAGGGATAACCCCGAGGCTGTAAACTTGGGTGACTGAAAAGTTGATCGTGTCCTACAAAGAAACATGAAAGTTCTGAAGAGGGGTGGGTTTTGAAGAAAAGTGATTAAGTTACGTTTTGGACATAATGAGCATAAGATACCTGTGGAATATCCAGTTCAGAATGGTTTTGATGTGGGACTGGAACGCAGGAGAGACTAGGCCTGCATATTCAGGCCTGGGGGTTATCATCATAGAGAGTCTGAGGGTGCAATATGGAAACTTATCCACCAAAAGACTGAAAAGGGGTGTCCAGAACCTAGAGAGAACCATGTTATAAAAAGCCCTGAGATGAGAGAGACTGTCCAAGAGAAGGTGGTCAACAGTATCAAATGCTGTAGAGTATGAGGATTAAGAAAAGGCCACTGGACTTGGCAATTAAGAGTTTGTTAGTAATTTTAGAGAGATCAATTTCAGCTGAGGAAAGACGTCAGAAGCCAGATTGACAATAGTTGAGGAAGAAGGTGGGAGCCAGTAAAGAGGAAGAGAGTGAAGACTAGAGACAGAAAGTATATAAGTGAAGGGAAATTGTGACAGAGAAAACAATAGGGGATGGTCAACAGTACAAGCAGAAGGGTCTCCCTTGCCAAGGAGAAGGGATGCTTCAGAGACTGGAGTGAGGCACAAGAGAATAGGGATTATGTCAAGAGTTTTGAGATAGCGGAAAGAGGAAAAGAGAGATCTCACAATGAAGGGCCTTTATTTTCTCAGGAAAATACCAAAGTCCTCTACTGAGAGAATGGGAGGGAAGTGGTGGTATGGAAACATTTCGAAAGGAAAAAGGTTTAGAAGACCCACTGCGCTGAATACAATAGAGATTCAACTAGGGGAGAATAAAAGGACTGCTTTACTGCAGTAAAGGTTACTAGATATTAGATAATGATATCGATTAGATATGGATTGATATATGGACATAGATAAGTACAGGTTATATATATATAGATTAGATATAGGTTGATAATGATATAGATTAGATAATTGATATTAGATAATGTAAATTTTTAAATTCGGAGTGGACCCAGTCATCATCACACTGTAACTTCTTTCAGCACCATTTGTCAGCCTGTGAGTAGCAGTAGCAAAGAAAGTTGATATTGGGAACAATCTAGGATTGGGGTTTGGCAAAGAATGCATGGCAATAGGGAAAGGGGGCCTGGGATCTTGAGTAAAGGATAATGTAATGTTAAACTGTTTAATTATAAAGTCAACATTGGGAGAGGGAGGGAGGAAATGAAGACAAAGCAAAGGTGATGGCCTGGGAGAATATTGAGGGGTGGAGGCCTTGATGGTCATAGTGAGAAATAAAGAAATAGGTTTAGGAGAAGTGAAGCATAGAGAAGGATGGGATGAGAGATGAGGTCAGAAAGTAATTTCAGAATTGTAGGTCATGGAAGTAGAACACTTACAGGTAATGGTGAGAGCAAAGGTTTGACCATTCCTGTGTGTGATGTGTTGTTTCAGGCGTAGGTCATGAGAGTTGAGTTTGAGAGGACTAAAAGAAATCCCAATTCAAAATGTAAAATCTCTAATTAATGATGTGGGATTGGAGCTTAGGAGAGAGACACACAAGGGCTAGGTCTGAGGTTCTCAAACTTAGCCTACTGCCCCCTTCAAAAAAAAAATTTCTCAGTGCCCCCCTAGAAATCTTTCTTTAACCCTTTAAAGGTTTTTTTTTTAATTTGTGTCACTTTAAAAAAATTTTTTTTCAAAAAAAGACTCATCTTAAATCGAATAATTTATTGTAGATTTGTGTGTTTTCCTGCATTAAAATTTTGATGATGCAATATTGTACCATGTAACCATAAAATATTGTATTATAAACAAGTCATTACATGCACATATTCCTGTCAATGCATGGACTTTTCAACAATGCAGTACCCACTCTCCTACCAACACTTGCTTGTTAAGACTTGTCAGCAGCAACTTGACCTCCGATCGGTTATAACTTGCATTTTGTGTGTTTATTTGGAAAATAATGTAATCGCTACAACTCTAAATCTGTTATACAACAGATGAAACATGTACAAATTGTTTTTCAAATTTTTCATATCTTCTCTTCTTTCCTTATGCTTTCATTGCCCCCTTATTTTTATTCAACACCCCCCCCAATTGCACCCAAGGCTATTACCACCCCCTCCCAGATCATTCGAGGGCCCCCCCCCAGGGGGAAGTATTACCTACTTTGGGAACCTATGGGCTAGATGTATAAATCTGAGAGTCCTCTGGATAGAAATGATCATTGAATCCAAGAGAGCTGATGAGGTCACCAGCTAAAAGCGTAACTAGCAATACTTTTATTTCTTCTTATGTTTATTCCATCAATTTATTTACTTTGTCTTATTACAATATCTAACATTTCTAGATTGGCCACTGATTGACTACATGGGGTAAAAGAGAATGAGTAGTGAAGGACAACTCTAAGGTTATAAATTTGGGTGATTAGAAAGTTGGTAGGTAGTAATAATGGAGCTTCTTGCTTAGACTGTGGTCTCACTGGAAAGGTCTCTTTAGTATTGAAAATGCTAGTTCTTGGTTTTGGAAAGCTACTGTTTACCATATTAAAGAAAAGTTCGTTTATTCCTCTGATTTTTAGTGTTTTTTATAACGTGTATTACATATCATCAAAAGTTCTCCCCACGCATCTATTAATATAGCCATGTGATAGCCTCAGTCCCTGCCTTATGCCTTCAACCCTTGGAGGCCCAATGCCCACTGACCTGAATTCCATCTGTTTCTCCTTGCCCATTCACTGCAGGCAGTTGGCTTTGTCCCCTGCCATGGTCCTAACAAGCCCTAACCAGATGTCAGACCTCAGGTGGGCTTCAGACCCCCCAACTTTCCTGCTAACCCTATCTTCCATCTATTCTGCACATATCTTGTTCTCTCTGCTGTCTATTAGAACATAATCTCCTTGAAATTTATTATTATTTTTGCTTCTTTGTATTCCTAGCTCTTTAGCTCAGTGCCTGACATACAGTTAAGTGCTTAATAAATGTTGCTGAATTGAAGGCTCAGAGACAGGATGCCTCCACCCCTGAGTTCTTGCACCCTTCCCCACTGAAAGCTGGCTTTATCCCTTCATGTAGCTCTACCAGGGTACTGGAGAGTGCCTTCAGGACTCCTGGAGGGCCCTGAGGCATGTTGAGCTCAGCAGTCCCTCTGTCTTTTTATGTAGTCACCTACTTAAGAGTTGGTTTAGTCTCCTGGTGCTCCCTAACAGGAAACTGGAGATCATGCTAATTCTGGAGGATCCTACGGAGTTTACTGCCCATGTGTCTTGGTTTTATCTCCGTTTCTTTTTGCAGTTACCTCTTAGGAATTGGTCTTATCACCTTCTACAGCTCCAACAGGCTGAGACCTGAGCGCCCTTTGACTTCAGGCTTCATTCACGAGATATTGTGCTGGCATCAGACTTCCCTAAAAGTCCTACTCCCATAGCACCCACAGGCTTCTGGTCATTATATACAAGATTACCATGGAAACAACTCTGTCTCTTTCCTGCCTATTTCTTTTCCTTTCCTGTTTGAGTTGTTGTATTTCTACAACAAACTGTGCGTTCAATATTATAAGGAGTGATGTTCATCTGGCCCTAATTCTCAATCCATTGTGCTATTATTAATGGAGTCTTGGTGGCTGCCATGTTACAATGTTGATCATACTGAATGTGATTCATGGTTCAATTCAATATATGGAAAAATATCCTCAACAATTAAGACTGAATTCTCTCTCAATGGGGGAGGCTGTATGACCATTTGTTGAAAATACAGTAGAGGGAATTCCTACCCAGGTATAATTCAGATCTGATATGCACGACAGAGAAAAGAGCAATGGGGCTCTAATTAGAACAGTACAAGTGAGGAAGACAGAGCCAGTTGTATAAAAAGGAAATTAATTTTGTGGGAGGCAAGGGACGCAAAGCAAAAATCATGTGATGCCAGAGAACTTGAATAAAAATAATTTATTAAGTCTTAACATATGTGAGCACTGTGATAATCTCTGGATATACAAAAAGAGAATTCCTTCCCTCAAGAAGTTTACATGCTAACAGGTGATACAAAATTATAGGGGAGTGGTGGCCAGAGAGAGGCATTTTGATTTAGAAAGTTATAGAAATGTAAGTGGAACCACAGAAGAGTAGTTTGTGAAGGTCATTCTTTCATTGGTAACAATTACTTGTTGAGTGCTTATGTAGCCCACTTTCCCCAACCATTCACTCATTCTCCATGTACTGATTATTCTCATCTGTCACCCAAAACGAGACAGGAGGTAAGAGCTCAATAAATGTAATTTTTCTTTAAGATTTTATTTTTTTTGACAAATTTTCTATTGCTTCTTCTGTGATGGTATCATCCTCGTCAATGTTCACTTTGACCTTCTTGCCAATGAGATCAGCAATGCCTTCAGGGGGATATCCTTTCGGTTCACCCACCTTCACTGTAAGCATATCCATTGTCAATATGGTACCTTCAGGAATCCTCACTTTGGCCACCACTGATTTACCCAGCTGCAAACAAAACAAAACATGGGAGTATCTTAATATGCATATACACATGGAAGTGCTGACCTTTCAAAAGGACAGAGATATTGCGGTTTTCCTGATTGCCTTTTTTAAAGCTCAATTTTATTTTAAGCTCCAAACTATCTCCCAACCCTCCACCCCACCCACTGAGAAATCAAGAAAAACAAAACCCATTACAAACATGGATAGTCAAGCAAAACAAATTCCCATATTATTGATGTTTCAAAAGAATTATGCCTCAATATGTATTCTGAGTCTACCAGTTCTGTATATATAGTTTGAGATCTGGTACTGCTAGGTCCCCTTCCTTTGCATTTTTTTTCCCATTGATTCCCATGATGTTTTTGACCTTTTGTTCCTCCAGATAAATTTTGTTGTTATTTTTTCTAGTTCTACAAAGTAATTCTTTGGTAGTTTGATTTGGCATTAAATAAGTAAATTAATTCAGGTAGCATCACAATTTTTATTAAATTGGCTTCACCTACCCATGAAAAACTACTGTTCCTCCAATTATTTCAACCTGTTTTTATTTGTGTAAAGAGTGTTTTATAATTGTGTTCATATAGTTCCTATAAGTGTCTTGGCAGATAAACTCCCAAGTATTTTATACTATTTGTAGTTATCTTTCCTGCTGGGCTCTGTTGATGAAATATAAAAATGTTGATGAGTTGTGTGGATTTACCTTGCTTTACCCTTAATGTTAAAGGAAAGCCTCTATATTATCTCCATCATAAGAAAATGCTGACTAACACTGGCTTAGATAGATTACTTATCATTTTAAGGAAAACTCTGTTTACTCCTTTGCTTTCATGTGTTTTTAATAGGAAAAAGTGTTATATCTTGTTCAAAGCTTATTCTGAACCTGTTGCAATAACTGTAAAATTTCTGTTGTTCTTGTTATTCACATTGTTAACTATGTTTAGTTTTCCTAATGTTGAAATCAGCCTTGAATTCCTAGTATAAATTTGGCCTAGTCACAATGTATTTTTTTTACATAAAGCTGCCATTGCCTTACTAACACTTTATTTAAAATTTTTGCGTTAATATTCATTATGTATGTAGATCTATGGGTTTTTTTTGTTTTGATTCTCCCTCATTTAGGGTATGAAGATTATATTTGTGTCATAGAAGGAGTGTGGGAGATCTTCTTTTCTTATTTTTTTAAACAGCATAATATTAGAATTAACTGTTATTTAAATGTTTGATAGAATTTGTTCATACATCTACCTGGTCCTTTTTTTCCTCTTGGAACTGATTTATAGGTTGTTCAATTTCTTTTTCTAAGATAATTGGGTAAAATAGCTCCTAACTGTTTATTCTTCAGTGGTTGTGAATTCATTTTTGATAACAGTAATTTGAATTGATTTTTTAAATCATTCTAGTTAATGGCTTATCTATTTTACTGGTTTTTAAATTTTTTTTCTAATTTTCATGATTTCATTTCAGAGTTTAAGTTTTTAATTTGTTGATTTTCTAGGGTTTTTTTTTTAGTTGCATACCTAATTTATTGATTTGCTCTTTCTCTTCTATTGATAAGGATTTAGAGATAAAAAATTCCCCGAAGTACCACTTTGACTGAATCCCAAAAATTTAGGTATGTCGTCTCATTGTTGTCACTGTCTTTAATGAAATTATTGTTTCTATGATTTATTCTTTGACCCAAACATTCTTTAGGATTAAGTTATTTAGTGTCTAATTAATTTCTAATCTTTGTTTCAAAGGTCATTTATTGAATGGTACTATAGTCAAAAAAGATATTTCTGCTTCTTTGCATTTATTTGTGAGGTTTTTATGCCCTAATACATGGTCAATTTTTGTGAAAGCTCCATCATAGATGAGAAGTGGGTATACACCTTCCAATTCTATTCAGAATTCTCTAGAGGTCTATTCTATCTAACTTTTCAAAACTCTATGTCCTTAATTTCTTTTTTTAGAGGGTAAGCTGAGGTCCCCACTATTATAATTTTACTATTCCTCCCTGTAATTCATTTAACTTTTAGTTCAAGAATTTAGATGCTGTGCCACTTAGTGTGTGTTTAATATTTATATTAAGTCACTGTGGTACATATCAGTAAAAAGGAGTTTTCCTGTTTATCTCTTTTAATTATGTCTATTTTTGCCACTGCTTTGTCTGAGATTCAGCTGAAGCATAATAGAATCTGTTCTAGCTTCTTATTTTAACTCTGTATTTGTTTTTCTGTGTCCAACTGTGTTTGTATGTATATTCCTTCTTCCTGGGAAAAGATCAGATGAATGCTGGTTTAAGTGTTACCCACTCCCCTCCTCCTTTTTTATAGACTTCTACTTGTGAACTTAAAGTGAGATAATTTTTCATTCCTCTTCACTCTCACCCCCCCCCCAAAAAGAGCTTAGACATCATCTTTAAAGAAATAAAACTGCTGGGGGAGCAGAGCCAAGATGTCTTGGGCTAGAAATTTGTTTCACTTTGTCTTTTTGTGGGTTCTGCTGCTTTAGAACTTGTTTAGAGTAATTTTTTACAGGTATTTGGAGGGGTTTGGGGGAGAACTCAAGCAAGTCACTGCTTTTACTCCGCATCTTGGCTCTGCTCCCCCAGCAGTATTATTTCTTTAAAGATGATGTCTAAGCTCTTTTTTTGCTATGGGGTATCTCCTATTTTCTTTTTTTTTTTTCAGTCTTTTAACTTTCTTCATAATATTTCTTGATGTTTCATGGAGTCATCAGCTTCTATTTAGTCAATTCTAATTTTCAAGGAGTTATCTTTCTTGGATAAGGTTCTATACCTCTAGCCCATTTGTTTTTTAAATTTATTTTTAAGCTTTAAAAAAAACCCACAAAACTCTTCCTTTAACTCTTATGGGAATTCTGGTTGAATTTGTTCCTAAGCTGTATTTTACTCTGAGGCACTGCCTATAAATGTTTTCAAGTCATTCTTTTTGTTTGCTTATTCTTCCAGCCTACTTCTTGACTGTAGACTTCATTATGGCTTGGATCTATGCACTTCTGGGGGGAAATGGCTAGCCTGAGTTTCTAAACTCTCACATTCCTGTGCTTTCATAGCTCAGGCTGGGGAACGAGGGTGATGCAAGATTTCAGTGCTTCCAAAGCAATGTCAGCAAGGGAGAAGTCTGCTTACTGCCCCCCTGGTCTAAGCTCTGTGAGTTCTTGACTCAGGTTTGAGCATGTTGGCTTGTCCCTGTTTGGGACACTATATACTGCTGCTGGACTTAGCCAATATTAGCCCAGCTGGAGTCTCTATAAGGGCAGAGCGACTGAACTGAAGGTCTACCCTCTTGCCCCTCAAGTCCAACCTGGAACTGTGTAGTGGGGAACTGCCAGGGTGCTCAGTTTCCATTCTCAGTTTGTAGGTACTAGAATGTGCCACACATAGTGTGCCCCCAGCCAGACCCTGTCCCCAGTTGTTTACAGACCTGTCTGTCTCCTTAAGCTAACCCAAACTAGAACAATAACTGTGGCCATCTTGGATTTTCTGACTAGGATTCTGTCTGGTACACGTTCTAGATCTTGGTGGAGGTGGTTGGGCTGGGTAGGAAGTCTGTATTTCTACTAATACTACGCCAACTTCACTCTGCCACTTCTTCAGTTGTTAAAAAAAAAACTACTTTGTAAAAGACAGAAAGGATAGGGTAGCATTTATAGTCCCAAGGAGGTCCTCAGAATAGGAAGGGCAAGAATTACAAAGGAGGGGTACTTGGCAAGCAAGGAGTCCAAGAGACAAGTTACCTGCAACTTTTAACTAGTTGCCCCATTAGCAATCCTGGTATTCATACCATCAGGCCTAGATACTGAAATCTTATTAAAATTTGTGTATGTCCCACATTTCTAAATCGTGTTCATGATTTAAAGAAAGATTATTCTTAAGAGTTAGGAAAGAACCTTAGAAGTTTTCTACTTCAGACCCTACCAAAAGGAATGAACATCTGATGATTCTATTACCAGGAGCCCCTTCTCTTGACTCCAGATACAATTCTCTTCCCCTACACTACATTCCCTCAAGTTTGAATTAGTGGAATTCTGTTTCTTCATCTATGCCCTAATCACAGAATAAGCAGTTTTAGATGACTTTTGCTTATTATACAGTAAAACAATACAAAACTCACCTTCTCATTGCAGGCCATCTCACATGGCAAAAGCTGTTTAATTGGTGATCCCAAGGCTTTTTCTACAAGGCGGACTGCTTTCACCAACTCTGCTAATTCATTTGGCTCCAGAGATGCCTGATGGTCACTCCCTTTCCAAGTTTTATCCAGAGTCACATGACGTTCTAGTACCTTAGCCCCTAGAGCAACTGCAGCTACTGAGACCATGATGCCAGTTTCATGCCCAGAATATCCTATGGGGATGTCAGGGAATGCTTTCTGATATTCCTTTAACACACACACACACACACAAAAAAGGGAGAGGCAGAGAGGAGTTGTTGGAAAGAAATGCATTCTAAGAATATTTCTGGTATTGAGACCATCATGAATAATATTGGAACTAATAAAAGAATAAACATTCATAAAGGGCTACGTGTGACCAACTTTCACTTCTACTTGAAAGTGTTATAGGGGGGTGGGTAGGTGGCGCAGTGGATAGAGCACAGGCCCTGGATTCAGGAAGACCTGAGTTCAAGTCTGGCCTCAGACATATAACAATCACTAGCTGTGTGATCCTGGGCAACTCACTTAACCCCATTTCCTAGACCCCCCCCAAAAAAAATTTTTTTAAAGTGCTATATGAAGGGGTGTGCTGCAGTCAGCTCCCCAAAGCCAATTATTAAAATTTCAGAGTGAGTACTTAACACTTCAGAATTGGCAAATGCTACAGGAATCAGGCCTGGATTTATTGTTTTATATAATATTTAGATCTAAAGTGGTGGAGAAAATGTTAATGCAGATTAAACTTAGTGAGTCATGTATATTTTTTTCTTTTCTGGAGAGCCAGTTGTTAAAAATTTATCAGCACATCCCTGGTTATTTATATCCCTATATCTATCTCTATCTCTTTATCTATATCCATCTATCTATATCTATCAATTTATCTATCTATACCTATAGCAATCTATCGATATCAATCTGTAGCTATATCAAGATAATGATGTATTTATATCAATATATTTATATTTCCCTATATCTATATGTTATCCTTATAAGCATTAATCTAGCAATCAAGACCCCTTCATAATCTAGTCTAAAAACCACTTTTAGAACAAAATCTTTTGTTGATGCCTTTCATCTTTTCTTCAGTAATTTCAACCCTCTCCCCTCCTGTTTGAAACCTCTTCCTTGACAAAGCAAAACATCTGATACAGCGACTGCACCTGACAATGTTTTTAATATCCTCCTCCCTCCCCTCACCGCACCCCCCGCCAGTATTATCTCACGTCTCGGCTATGAGGAGGCAAACATATTTTACTGTCTGTTTGCCCAACTTCTTAGTGCTTTTTCACTTACAACTTTTTGCTTTATGTTGCTGCCATCACTGTATGCTTTGTCATGGCCCAGTCTGCTTAGTTGGCTTTGCCTCATTTCAAACAAATTATCCCATGTTTGCCTGAATTCCTCATGTTCAGCATTTCTTACTGCACAATGATACTCTGTTACACTCACATCCCAGTTTTTAAAAATGCACGCGCACTCATTTTGTTTCCGGTTCCATGATTCCACTAAGAGTCCTGCTATGAATATATTTATATTTGGGACTTTTATTTCTGTCTTTGACATTCTTGGGGAATAAGCCCAATAACGGGGTTACTCAGTCAATGGGCACGCAGAGCTGCTTCTTGTGACTTTTGTACTGACAGTACATCCAAGGTACCTTTTTTCCTTCCCGCAGCCCCTCCAGCTCGGAGTACTTGCTTCTTCTGTCATCTGCCAATGTGCAAGGCCTGAAGTGATACCTTTAAGTAGTTTTAAATTTGCATCTATCATATGATTAGTGATTCAGAAAGTATCTTAATATGGTTGTTAAGAGTGTACAATTCTTCTTTGGAAGAATTCTTTTTCCCTACACTACACTTTTTGCTTACACTTTTGAAAACTTTTTCTTCCCATTGTTTGATAACTTACCTTTGTGGGGACTGGAGGTCACACAGCTGGGCCACGAACCCAGGACTTCTGCCACAATGACTAGCATTCTTTATTTCGTCACAGCTGCCTCCTCTGAACTATCCTTTGTTGTTATAATTCCACCCATAGTTCTTTGAGAGTCGGGGCACTTCCCTTTATCACCCCTTCAGACTAAAAAACTCCATGAAGATAAGAGATGAATCTTCATAAACCTCCAACTCCTGTTACTTCTATTTTTAAAATTTTTTTAATATAAATTTATTTATTTTTAGTTTTCAACATTCACTTCTACAAGTTTTTGAGTTCCAAATTTTCATCTCCCCCTCCCCCACCCCAAGATGGCATGCATTCTGAATATCCCTTCCCCTAGTCTGTCCTCTCTTCCATCTCTCTCCCTTTCTCTCCCTTCCCCTTCTGTTTTCCTGTAGGGCAGGATAGACTTCTGTACCCCATTTCCTATATTTCTTATTTCCCAGTAGCATGTGAAAACATTTTTTTAAACATATGTTTTTAAAACTTTAGGTTTCAAATTTTCTGTCTTCCTCCCTCCCCACCCACCCTCATTGAAAAGGCAAGCAACTCAATATAGGTTGTACATGTGCAGTTATGCAAAACACGTCCATAGTAGACATGTTGTGAAAAACTAACTCTATTTCCCTTAATCCTATCCTGCCCTCCATTTATTCTATTCTTTCTTTTGACCCTGTCCCTCCTCAGAAGTATTTACTTCTGATTACCCTTTCCCAATCTGCCCTCCTCTCTATCATCCCCTGCTCTCTTGTCCCCTTCTCCCCCTATTTTCCTGTAGGGTAAGACAGATTTCCATACCCAATTGAATGTGTATGTTATTCCCTCCTTAAGCCAAATCCTATGAGAATAAGATTCACTCATTCCCTCTCACCTTCCCCTGTTTCCACTCCACTTTTCTGGTGTTTTTTGTGAGATAATTTACCCCATTCTACCTCTCCCTTTCTTCTTTCTCCGAGTATAATCCTCTCTCATCCCTTAATTTTATTCTCCAGATATGACCCCTTAATCTTCAACTCACCCTGTGCCCTCTATCTAGCTATCTACATATACATACATATAATTTTTTCCTCCAACTACCCTAATACTGACAAAGGTCTCATGAGTTATAAATATCATCTTTCCATGCAGGAATGTAAACAGTTCAATCTTAATAAGTCTCTTATGATTTCTCTTTCCTGTTTACCTCTTCATGTTCCACTTGAGTCCTGTATTTGAAAGTCAAATTTTCTATTCAGCTCTGGTCTTTTCATCAGAATGCTTGAAAGTCCTCTATTTCACTGAATGACCATTTTTTCCCCTGAAGGATTATACTCAGTTTTGCTGGGTAGGTGATTCTTGGTTGTAATCCTATCTCCTTTGCCCTCCGGAATATTATATTCCATGCCCTGTGGTCCTTTAATGTAGAAGCTGCTAAATCTTGTGTTATCCTGATTGTGTTTCCACAGTACTTGAATGTTTCCTTCTGGCAGCTTGTAATATTTTCTCCTTGACCTGGGAACTCTGGAATTTGGCTACAATATTCCTAGGAGTTTTCCTTTGGGGATCTCTTTCAGGAGGAATCTGTGGATTCTTTCAATTTCTATTTTGCCCTCTGGTTCTAATATATCAGGGCAGTTTTCCTTGATAATTTCTTGAAAGATGATGTCTAGGCTCTTTTTTTGATCATGGCTTTCAGATAGTCCAATAATTTTTAAATTCTCTCTCCTGGATCTATTTTCCAGGTCAGTTGTTTTTCCAATGAGATATTTCACATTGTTTTCTAATTTTTCATTCTTTTGGATTTGTTCTACTGTGTCTTGATTTCTCATAAAGTCACTATCTTCCAATTGCTCTATTCTAATTTTTAAGGAAGTATTTTCTTCAGTAAGCTTTTGGACTTCCTTTTTCATTTGGTCAATTTTGCTTTTTAGGGCATTCTTCTCATTGGCTTCTTGGACCTCTTTTGCCATTTGGATTAGGCTATTTTTTAAGGTGTTATTTTCTTCAGTATTTTTTTGGGTCTCCTTTAGCAAGCTGTTGACTTGTTTTTTGTGATTTTCTTGCATCACTCTCAGTTTTTCCTCTACTTCCCTTACTTGCTTCTCAAGATCCCTTCTGAGCTCTTCCAAGGCCTGGGACTGATTCATATTTTTCTTGGAGGCTTTGGATGTAGGAGCTTTGACTTTGTTGTCTTCTTCTGGTTGTATATTTTGCTCTTCTTTTTCACCAAAGTAAGATAATATAGTCTGACTCTTTTTGCTCTGCTTGCTCATGATTCCAGCCAATTACTTGAGTTTTAAACTCTTTGTTAAGGTTAGAGTCTGCTTCCAATGTGGAGAATGTACTGTCCCAACCTTCAGGGGTTTGTATAGCTGTTTTCAGAGATACATGTAGGGACCTGTAAATTTTCAGTTCTTCCAAGGTGGTATGATAAGGGGCAAGGTGTTTACTCCTTTCCTGGCCTGCGACTACAAGTACTCCCCTCTGTCCTGTAACTGTGAGGAGGGGGCTCCTCTCCACTACAAGCTCCTCCACGCCAGTGCTCCTCCTCACCCCAGCACTGCTGCCCAGAACTGTGCCCAGATCCAAACATGGGCAAAGCAAGAGATTCCTGCCTCAGCACTGGCAAAGAGATCCCTGCAGTCCCTCTCTGAGCAGCCACTGGATTCCCCCTCAGTCTGTGGGCCAGAAGCTCAGGAAGCAGCTGCCCCTCCCAGGGCCAGGCTCTTGGGGAATGAAGCTGAGATCACGCCTTCCTTTCTCAGCACCGACAGAAACAGACTTTTCCCACTGACCTTTTAAGTTGTCTTTGGCATTGGTGGATTGAGGAGTCTGGAAATCTCCACAGCTGCCCGAGATTGAATCCTCTGAGGCCTGCTCCAGGTTTGCTGCGGCCTGTGTGCCCACGCCGGGCTGAGCTCCCAATCCAGCGCGATACACCTTTCTGATCAATCATCCAGGTTGTCTTGGGCTGGAAATTTGTTTCACTCTGTCTTTTTGTGGGTTCTGCTGCTTCAGAATTTGTTTAGAGCCATTTTTTATAGGTATTTGGAGGGGTTTGGAGGAGAGCTCAAGCAAGTCACTGCTTTCACTCTGCCATCTTGGCTCCGCCCCCAGTAATCATCTAACTCCTGTTACTTCTAGAAAAAGTAGGAGAGGCAAGGGACACTGGTCTGATTTAGAACTGGAAGAAACTGGGAAGCTACGCTCAAATCCCTCGTTCTGAGGGGACTGAGGCTCTGGGGAGTGGAATGATCTGCCTAGAGTCACAGAAGTAGTGAGCGGGGAAAGACAGGACGTGGACTCTGACCCCAAATTTTATAACCTTTCCAGTGATACTCTCTGATTTAGGAAGATCGCTCTGGGGCACCAGCACACAGGATGAAATGCAAGGGAGGAGCCTATGGCAACCGTAGCAGAGATGGGATCCTGAACAATGGGAATGGGAAGGAAGGGAGAGACGTGAGGAGGTTTTGAAGAGGGAAGTGCTGTGAGTGAGCTGAAGCAGACACCAGTATTCCAAGCTCTACCACTCTGGCCGTGCCAGCAGCCTTGGGCTACACCCCATTCCTCTAGAAGTCTGAAATGCCCTGCAACTATGGGCCTCGTCCCCGGCAACCACCTGTGGCCCAGAGTAGTAAAAGGCTTTACTTTAAATATCTACCAGCCAGTTTCTGGGCCTCCAAACATTTCTGCCCTAAAGTCAAAAGGAAAGGCTGAGGTAGGAGTCTACCAACCTTTTATTCAACCATGGCGGTGCAGTCAATACTCAACTAGCCTGTTGGCTAGTTAACAGCTAATGGTCTTTCTTTAGTAGTAATGATTTTTTTTTCGGCTAGGCAATTGGGTTAAGTGACTTGCCCAGGGTCACACAGCTAGTAAGAGTTATGGGTCTGTGGCCACATTTGAACTCAGGTCCTCCTGAATCGCACTATCCACTGCGCCACCTAGCTGCCCCTATATAATGATTTTTTTAAAAGAGATTTTTCTAGTGCCTATAACATCCACACTCTTTGACCCACAGATTCCACTGCTAGGTATGTACACCTAGGAGGTCAAAGAGAAGAAGGAAGACCTTCTTGACACCAAAATATTCATAGCATTTTTGGTAGTAGCAAAGAACTGGAAACAAAGTAGATCCCCATCACCTAAAGCAGGGTTAAGCAAATCGTGGCACATGGACGTTGGGATTTATTATTGTATCATAACTAATAATGAATGTGAATTCAGAGAAGCATCTGAAGAGGAAGAGGGAGAGATCTATTTGGAAAGGAAGGCAATATTAAAAAAAGAGATTAATAAAAACTAAAAAAAGAAAGAGAGAGAGAGAAACTTTCCCTAGTTTAAGATAATGTCCTAAAATTATCATATTAAATTGTTCTACTCTTCTCGAAATCTCAATTATCAGTATGTATAACTCCAGGAACTTTAATAACTGGAACCCTTAGAGATGTACCTGATAAGAAATAAGAATGGAGTAAATCTTTTTAAACTGTGACAGGACAAAAAATATTTTAAACTATAGCAACAATCGTGATACCTGTATTCAATCTGATCACGGAAATCAATAGTAAACACTATGGTTAATTTTCAAATTTACCTTTACATGAATGCATCTTGTTTTAAAGTGGTAAACTTGTTGGGAAACCTTGGAAGGTCTAAGACCTCATTACATACAAATAGTGAATTAGCATTTTCTGCTTACAAAATCCTGTGCCTACCAGAGTGGATAGGATAAGATAACCTAGATCAACTACTCACTGTAATTACACGAAGGTTGACATCTTCAGGGAGCAGCGGATAAGCACTGGTGCACTGCAAAATGCAGAAATTTGGGTTTATAGGTTTCACAATATTGTAGACTTGCTTCATCGTGTCCATGGACTGCATACCACTAGAGATAACCATCGGGCGACCTGATGAACAGAATTACCAACATGGTCACTCTTGGCCAGTTTAATTACTTCTGTCAACCAATCCCATGTTGTCAGCGGGAACACAGGTTTTCTGGACATTTTTTAAAATCAAAGTTGATTCAACTTTGTGGACATGGTAGAACAGAATGGTGAGTACCTTCCCCTCATGGGGGGAAGGGAGGTGTCAGGGTGGAAGAGGCGCACGAACAACAGATTTGTGATTTCACTGATGTGTGGAAACTCTCGCACAGATCAACAACTATTCTGTGGTTTATAGCGGTAGGATTACCTAAAACACAAGACTTCTCCATGGTCTCAAAGCTAGTATGTGTCAAGAACTGGTATTTAACCCCAGGTCTTTCTGACTCCCAGGCTGACTTGCTGTCCACTAGATGACATCACTCCTCATTTGAAATCTGAAAATTATCTCTACATGAAATGGCTTTCAGTAGTGGGGTTTTTTGTTTGTTTTTTAAAGAAAAAAAATATACCTTACCCCCAGTTTCCTTCTTCTAAATGAACAAACAATAACAATTTACATTTTGGTTTTGTGCATATTACATCATTTGATCCTCCATCTAGAGGAAGAAAGGACCTTAGAAATGATCAACAATCCAAAGCGTCGTTTTACAGGTAAGGAAACTGAAGCCCTGGGAAGCTACAGGACTTACCCAAAGTTGCATACCTAGTTAATGGCAGAGGGGAGATTTGAATCCAAGTCCTCTTAAACCCCAGAGTCACACAGTGCTTTTTGCTATTTACTGTTCCAGGCTGCCTCCATTATTCCCATTTCCCAGATTAGGAAACAGAGCCCCAGAGAAGTTAAGTGATTTGCCCAGGATCACGTATCTAGTATGTAATGGAAGCATGATTCTAGAGCAGGTCTCTCTAATCTAGCCCTTCCCCCCGCCCCCAACTATTCTCAGCTGCCTCTACCAAACATGAGGGGCAGAAACAGTTCAATGATTAAGATGAGGTCTCTACAGTTAACCTTCATGTTTGCCACCACAAAAAGGCTAAGTCCCTGGGAGGAAGTCAGAATTCTAGGAGAGCAAATTATATGGAAACACTCACCTTTCTTGGCTGTCTTTTCAAGATAGGGAAAATTGTTAGTGTCTCCAGATCCAACTTTGAAAAATGGAACATTCAATTCATCCAGAAACTCAACCGCCATCTACAAAACAGAACAGGGAATTGTCCGTTCTCCTCCCCGCAGGAGAAGGTATGGTCCACACGGAGCCTTAACCCTGGGGAGAACTGGGCCATCAGTCAAAACAAGACGCTTGCTCTAAATCAGGGCCTCTTAACTGGAGCGCCATTAACTTGGACTTTTAAAAAAAAATTTTCTTAACCATTTCCATGGTTTCATTTGTAATCCTATGTATTTTATTTAAAAAGTACAACAAACACCCTCCCAAATCAGAAAGGGAATACAACTGTCACTCAGTTGGATTTCACTGAGCCCCTGTGGAATGCTCGTCAGGTCTCTGCTGCTCTGGTTTAGAGAGTATTTTTCTTTAGTAATCCTTCCTCTTAAATAATTTGCACATCCCCTCCCTATGACTAGTCCTTGCTCATACAGAAGATGCTGAAAAAAATGCCTTTTGAATTGACCATAACGGGTGTTTAAAATTTTTTCATTAAACTGTATAGGTGTGGAACCAAGGCGAGAACACACACACACACACACACAGACAGACCCCATCAACCTTATTTTCAGCTGAAGAAAAAACCCAATTTTTTTCTTTTGAAAGAAATCTAATTTTTAGGGATATTATTTGTAGTTCTAATGGAGAAACATCTCCATCTTGTGGCCTTTTAGGAGACTGACACCAAAGACAGCTTCTGTAACCAAGGGCAAGTCACTAATCAAAATTAACTAGAAACCTCTAGGCCCCGAACAATCTTGCTGTTTATAGCATATGTGCATGATAATGTTATTCCAAAATTAAGGCACAAGGAGACTGCCTGATAGGAAAATTAAAGTGGCAGGTGTGAAAAAAGGGTCATAGGACTACATAGCTCAATGGCAAATTTAAAAGTATGTTAAAAAAAAAAGAAATAGAAAACTCTTCTTAGAACAAAAAAATGAGAAACACTGCTGTTAGATAAGATGCCCTGGAAAGCCCACCAAGTTGGAAAAGCTTTCCCTAACAGGCTTAATTAATGACACTTGAATATGAGGCTGTGAGCTCCCTGAGAACAGAGACTTTTTTTCTGTTGTTGTTGCTGCTTTTGTCTTTCTTTGTATCCCCCATCCTTGGCACACAGTAGGTGCTTAATCAATGCTTGAATGACTGACAGCTAATGCAAGTCACGGAGATGGGACAAGGAACAGTGAGTTGGCCAGTATGGTCAGACTGCATATAGAGAGCGTAAAAGGAAGAAAACTGTGAAAACTGGAAAAATAGGAAAGGGCTAGCTTGAGAAGAGTTTTAATGAATGAAGCATTTATTAAGCACTTACTATATGCAAAGCACTCTGCACTAGCTGCTGGGAATACAAATAAAAAAGAAAGACAATCCTTGCTCTCAAGACACTCACTTTCTTATTCTAAATGGCAAAGGTGTTTATAATTGAACCTAAAGGTAACAAGGAGACGTTGAAGTTATTGATTTTATTTTATGTCATTCTGGTAATTCTGCAATGCCATATTATATTCTGCAAAATTCTGTGGATGTTAAACTTTCTTTGAAATACTATAGTTTGATGAAAGTGACAGTTTCAGAGAAACCTGGAAAGATTTGTATGAACAGATGCAGAATGAACAGAATCAGGACAACACCGTAAAAGTAAACGCTCTGAAAGTCTCAGAACTCCCATCAACGCAATGAAGAACCACACACCCAGAAGATGAATATTGAGGCAGGCTATCCCTTTCCTGATATAGAGGTGATAGACACACCATGCAGAATGTGACATACATTTCTGGATATGGTCAATATGGGAATTTGCTTGGATTTTCCTTAGTTATTTTGCAAGGTTTTGTTGTTGTTTTTTTTAATGGGAAGGGGAGTTAGGTGAGAGAGTGGGGCCTTAAGAACAGGAATCCTCCCTACCCCCCAAAAGAGAATAGAACAAAGACTAGAAAGAATCAGAGATGAACAGGATAGCTTTGAAAATTACATACTGAATTTATTATATTTTTTTTTAAAGCAAGCTCCCCATAACTGGTATAAGGAAATGTTCAATTGAGTTTGTGTTCAGAATAAAAAGAAAAAAGTGGAAAAAATACTATATCTGGTTAAAAAAAATCACTTGCTCAATTTGTAAAGCCTGCTTAATTTCCTTTTTTGACAACAAGTACAAATAATAGTTTTTGAACACAAGTCTAAAAAGCTGGCCTGTCTATAACACAGGAATAATAATAATAGTTTATGTTTTACTTAATAGATACTTTCAAAGCTGTTCTTCATCAGGGAGATTTGGGGAAAGTTTTATGCTAGACGTGGCACCTGAGCCCTGAAGGAAGAACATTATTTCAAAAAGTTGAAAGGAGGATGGATCACATTCCAGGTACAGAAGCCAGTTGGTGCCAATGTCCTGGGGCAAGAGAGTATAGAATGACATTGTGTAACAGGGAAGAAAGAACAGTCTGGCTGGAAGGTAGAATGGGTAAAGGAGACTAAGGCAGAAAAAAAAGGTTGGAAAATTAGATTAGAGGCAGACAGTGGAAGGCCTTCAGTGCCGACCTAAGGAGATTCCGGTTGACCCTAGAAGCCAATGATGTAGCACTGGAGTGACAGAGTTGGACCTGTACCTTAGGGCAATTCTGTTAGGAGCTGTGTGAAGGATGGATTGCAGCTGGGAAGAGAATGGAGAAGGACAGATGAGTTAGGAGAATGTTACAATATCAGCTGAGAGGTGATGGAAGTCTGAACTAGGGGTATAAACATGGAAGTGGAGAAGAAGAGGGGCTGGTAATATCCAGAGAACACACAGCAAATGATTAAACAGAAGAAGGAGAGGAAAAATTCAGATGATATTCTGAGGACAGGTCAGGGAGGAGGGGGAATGGTGGTACCATCAACAGAAACAGAAAAGTTGGGAAGGAGAAAGAGAAGTGGGGAAGACGATGAGTTAATTTTGGGGCATTAACAATGTTAATGTTGGATCAGAATTTTAAAAAATCTAACCTTGCCACCCCCCTGGTCTTTCACCTAAAGGACCAGAAAGCCTTGCCATCTACCCTTCAGCTGAACCCTTCTAAATTGTCGTCTCCACTAATAAAAACATGAGTTTCTTGAGAAGTGGGGACTGTATCAATTTTCTATTTATATTCTTAACACTTAGCACTATGATGGGCACATAGCAATAATAAATAAATGCTTCCCTATTCCATTCCATGTATGGAAATGTCTTTGGGGAAAATCAGTTTATAGATACAACTTGGCCTGCCTGGAGACAAACTGGATCTAGTGTTTTAAAGGGAAACTGTCCCCTCCCTAAGCCTAATGGTCACAGAAAGATTCAGAGCTGGAAAGAACCTCAAAGATCATCTAATGCAATCTCCTCATTTTATTGAGGTCCACAGAAGTTAAACAAATATCTTCCCTAAGAGCCAAACCAGGTGGTAAGGCAGAGGTAAGATCTGAACCCAGATCCTGACGAGCAATCCAGGGTCAGATGATTTGGATTTTCCTAATTAGCTCCATGACCTCAGGTACAGCCTAATTAGCTGTGTGACTTCTGCTAAATAGCTGTGTGACTTTGGGTAGTTCATCACCCTAATGCCTCTGGACTTGAGTTTTTTCTTCTATATAATGAGAGAGTTGAGCCAGATCAGATGTTCTTAACCTGGGGTCTGTCAACTCGATTTTAAATATTTTGATAACTGTATTTCAATGTAATTTGCTTCCTTTGCAATCCTATGTATTTTACTTTATGCATTTAGAAATATCATTCTGAGAGGATATGCACAAGATTCCCCAGAATGCCAGAGCGGGGTCCCTGACACAAGAAAGGGTAAGAACCTCCAGGACCGATGATTTCTGAGATTCCTTCCATAGAACATCCTGGAACTCTATGTCTGGTGCAGGAACTGAGCAGGGGCTTCAGAGGTCTCAGAAGGCTGTGGATAGTCAGTCAACCAGCAGAGACACAAAGAAAAATAAAAGATAGTCCCTGCCCTTAAGGAGGTCACACTTTAAAGGGACAGATAACATGCAAATAACTACAATTAAGATAAAGACCAAAAATGATGATGAAATGAGATAAAATGATGAAATGAAATAAAATGAAATGAAGTAAAAGATGAAATGGAGATAATTAACAGAGGGAAGGCACTAGCTTAATAGGAGATGAGATAATGAAGAGATTTAGTGTTACTGGACCAAAAGTAGGGGTACTTCTACATCTGAGAAAGATCCCTTTCTTTTTTCCTGCCAACTCTAGGAACTGAACTGCCTATCTTTCTTTCCATTTTTACCACATGTTGCTTCCAAAGAGGGTTCCTCCTCTTACATTGAACAAGCATTTATTAAACACCAATTATGGGCCAGGTACTGTGTACAAAGAGACAAAAAGCACAATGGTTCCTACCCCTCAAGGAGTTTACGTTCTTTTGGGGGAAAATATCACACACTAAGAAAACTAAATACAAAATGTGTACCAAGTAATTTTGGAGGTTGAAAGTACCAAGATAGGATTTCAGCAGAGGTGTCATTTGGATTGAACTTTGAAGGAAACTAATAATAATGACAAAAATAATAATAATTATAGCTAATATTTATATAGTGTTTACTCTGTGCCAGGCACTGTGCTAAGCGCTTTACGAGTATTATCTCATTTAATCCTCACGACAACCCTGATAGGTTGGTGCTACTACTTTCTCCATTTTACAGATGAAGAAACTGAGGCAATCACAGCTTAAGTGACTTGCCCAGGGCCACACAGCTATTAAGTATCTGAGGCCAGATCTGAACCCAAATCTTCCTGACTCTAGGCCTGGCTCTCTAACCACTACACCACCTAGCTGTTCCAAACTAGGGGAAAGTAGGGATTCTATAAAACAGGGGGTGAGGAGGAAGTACATTACAGGCACTGGGAGCTGGGGGAAAGGCATGGAAAATGGCAGCTGGAATGCTGTATTTGAGGAATGGCAGGCAGGCCACTTTGGAGAGTAATGTCCTGGAACCAGATTGTTAGGTACTTTACAAGTCACAAAGAAGAGTC